TTAAAAACATATGCGTGGTTGTTAAGTCCCTTCCGTGCTCATTCATAAAACACATGAATGAATTGTACTAAACCTTTTTTTTAAATAGCTGATTTTTTTGAAAACATTTGCATAAGAAAAAATCTCTGTCTTCATTTTGTAGTTTTGAAATAAAAACTTTGCAATTGAAAAAACGAGAGGATTGATAAAAATGAAACTACATATTATTTTTATCTCTCATTATGAGAGAGGAAAATATAAAGAATAATTGTGGGTTTGTGAAAACAGTGTTAAAAACAAATGCATACCAATATTTACACAAAAATGCACACAAATTTACTTATAGGATTTAACATACTTTACTCACGACCTGTTAAGGAAAAATTTCATTAAACAAAAAAGTCTTTATCTCATTATCGTAATAGTCTGAGTCTTGAGGAAGACGTAAAAAAATTACATTTTTCCAATTTCAGAAAAAATTGGATTTAAACGAACATGAGACTTATCTCCATACATCTAAGCATACTTTACGGAATTGAAACCAAGGGTTTAATAAAAATAAAAATAGCAGACAATTCTTAAAAATCGAAAATCGGTTTCGGACGTTCATTTAAATGCCCCTCAATAAATAAAATATCATTATTGCTAAAATAATGATTTGTTTATCATAAACTTCATAGGATTATACTTTATTAGCGCTTAATAATTATTATGCTATAATATTTTGACGCGATCGAAACGCATATACGCCTAATAAAATATTGATACCAGAAAACATCCTGTATTTGTCAATTAAAATGAAGGTATCTACTTCACCAGAGATCTATTAATCTAAAATATCATATAAAACTCTCAAATACTCAGCTCGTCTTGTATCGATTGGGACCTATCAAATTTTGGAAAAATAGGTAGGCACTACGATTTAGAGAAATAGCTGAACGGTTTAGCAAAGCCGCATCACAGTCGGAACAGACAACGTTGCTATCGAATTTTTTCGATTCAAGGACCACAAAACCAATAATGATTTCTGACGACACCAAAAAGATTATCCACCTTTGTTTACCAGAGCCCGGCGTAATAAGAGTTTTTCGGACCCAAAACAATTTCATTCTATTTCCGGCCACATATACTTTATTTCATTGCGTAAGTAAGTGCGAAAAGTAAAGCAAGTGTTATGTTTAAACCGGTTTCACACGGAAATCGTCTGAGAAGGAAGTCAAAAGATGCAATTGTCATTCAAAGCTGAGAAAGTAGTTGTCCATAAAAGGCACTTTGGGCGCATCCTATATCCTCGGGTCTGGATTCGAAATACTGCGTACTGGGATCTGGAAAGCCGTTCCGCTAGCCGGAAGCCCGAAGATGGCGCGCCAGCATCATTTGTTATTTCTAACTTCGGACAAGTTCTCTTTTCACATCCTGTGCGTGGGGATGTTATGCGATTTTATTTAAAACCTTCTCTTTCTGAAATTAGGTTATCTCCATTGAAATATATTACCGCGAAACCCTACAGCTCCAAATATTCTGGTCGTAATCAGGCTTCGTTTGCTCCAAGTAACAACAGCGTTCACTATGTAGTTACAAAAAGAGGAAATAATTAAAAATTTGTGTTTGACATGTTCTTCTTTATATGTGTAAGTATCATATTAATACATTCAATATTAGTACTAATAAGTTAACGCAACAATTACACAAATAATTCCGTACTGTGTCGAAGTTCAACCAAGTACTCAACAAAAGTGTTGCAAACTTGTTGCAAGTTTTTTAACGTAAACTTACTTCTGTAGGTTTAACAAAAATACTTGCCATCAAGAATATCGACTTAAATTTATCATTATTACTGATCATTAATCATTATTCCTTACATACAAGAGCAGACAAAACTTGCAAAATTTAATGGTTTTTGCGCTGACGTGTTTCCAAAACAATTTAAGTTAGATCTGCGAATTTTGTCTTTTAAATTTTCCACTCAGTAAACGATTATTGCTGCTCTGTACACTCCTGGTTGTTAGCGTAACCTCAAACGGAAACGTCTTTATAAAATAAATAAATTAGTATAAGCAAACACAAAATAATTATAACAGAAAAAGATTTCCACATAATCTCAGTATCCGACTTGCACCTAAATCGCGGCATTCTTGTAGAGAAGCGTGAGACAGAGGTTGTTAACAATTCAGAACTCAGTAACTCATATCTCCACTACAAGACTTCATCACGCACCGTTCAAAGCAATACTGTTCCTTCACATACTATGCTTTCAAAGAATGAGTTAACGTCACGCAAGATTATAACAAGTTGTTGAGCGAAGCTGTGAAGACTTTTCTTTTGAATTACGGGACCAAGAAATAGTATTGTAAGAAAGACGTGAAATATTACAAATAACAAATGAATTTTAGTATTGAATTAAAATGCTTCGTGGAATATTTGCTACAGCGTAGTTTACCGTATTCATTGTGATTTACGATTATATTGCATAAAAAGTGAATCAATAGTTTGCTATCTTTTCTTAATTTATCAATATGATTTTTAGTAATTATTGCGAATTTTAAAATATTGTCTTGTATTTAAATATCTTCATGAACAGAAGTGTTAATATTTTATATGGTAAAATGAAACAAACAAAATTAGTAATATCCCTTCACTGGAATTATCACATTACGGTATGGAACTGGAGAGAAGGATAGTTCGGGATGTTATGTAACAAAATAAAATATGACATAAAATCGTGAATTGTATTTAGCGAACTTTGTATGTATGCTTTGTGTCGTATGCAGTTTTCTGTTCACATTACGGAAAAGAATACAGATGCATTGGTTTTCCGCCATTGACACATAAAATTGTATACCTTTTGTACACCTTTATTTTATTTATATTTTTTACGTCACTTATGTGAAAATAAGGGAATAATATTTATTCCAATGAACGAAATATATTCTTTCTGAAAATATTGTACAATTAACGCCACTTGCATACGCACAATCACTCGACCGAATTGGAAAATAGTATGCATCTGTTAAACGTTTTCCTAGTAATAAGAGTTTTGAATCCAAAAAACAACAGATGTATTTTTTAGAGCGGGAATAAATAGCCGTTGCCGATCTATCCTGTGTGGCTTAGAAACGTAGGCATGTAATTGATCGGCGAAGTAAGTGTCGCGTCTTTCTCTTGCTGACTGAAAACTTGACGAACATCTAAAAATTAAAATTCAATAAATATAACAGTCTTAGTCAAATGGGACACCAAAAAATTAAGATTTTTCCCCAACTTTGCATTAATTCCCAGGTTTATTTTTTTCATTTTTATTTTTTTTTTCTGGGAGGTTTGCCACCTAGGGTAAAGGTTCACCTACCAATATCGGGGTTTATTTTTTTATTTAAATAATTCATTTTCTTCCTGTTTTTCCTGTTTTTCCCCCCTTTTTTGGGGGTGGGGGGGGGTGGTTTTCACTCACTCACTCACTCACTCACTCACTCATTCATTATTTCGGGTTTCCGTCGAAGAAAATAGTTGTATGAGAATCGTAGATAATTTAAAGACATGAGTTCTTAAATATTTAATTAAACTTCGAATATAATCAGTCAACCAATCAATGATGCCATTTCGCTAAGCTCCTTTCACCGTCTCACAGAAAAAAAGAGGGTATTACTTGGGAGACAAAACAAGCGATTTGAATTATGCTCAGAATCTTGACGGTCTTCATGTAGTAAATCTATAACTTGGAACAGTTGGATTTTCTTCCCCTCCGAAGGAAGGCTTACGAAGGCTATTTTTGTCCTTTTAAGTCCATGGCTTTGAACTTGCAAACGTATGTATATCAGTCCGATATGCTAACCGTTATTCCACCGTAACCACTGATATTATTTGTTATTTAGATGCCGACTAATTATGCTTATTTGAAAAAAACTAAATAACATTCAACAGTTGTCTCCAAGAAGTCAACATTGCTATGAATTTCAAAGTGTTTATTTTAATATTTCTCAGAAAAACCTGCACTATTTACGCATTTTTTTGGATATTGACTGAGACAATAAGCATAAAACACTTCCATTGTTAACTGCTGTATAAATTGCAAATATAGAAGTAGTGTTACGGGACGTTATATGCAAGTGATATGCAAGTCAAATGATCTTGACTGTTTGGGTGACTGTGTGGGCATTCAAGGCCGTGTTGCCTGTTGTGGCAGCACAGCCTATGACAGGATGTCACCCAGACTGCCACGGTCATTTGTTTGACTCCGGCCGAGGAAGCCTACGACCTCATATGTAAGTCACCAAAATCAGATTATCTACGGTACAATAAATATTTATACTACAGTTCCAATGAAAAGTTCAATGCTCAATGTAAATGATGAATTGTGAATATTAATTTCTGTATAACGCTTTACTGTCTTTCATAATAATGCAGAGAGGTGCACTATTTTAATAAAAAGCCCAATAGTAACACTTCTGTTGGAAAATATGTATAAATAAAACTTATAACAATATTTTATACTATTTTTTTGGTAAACGTGTGATAAACATAAGGTATTTTTTATATTCATTCCAATTTTATCACTGATTTTGAGAGTTTTTATGCCTGTGTTGATATTCAAGCCATCTGTGATGAGGTACTAAATGTTTTTCTCAAATTAAGAATTCAGAAAGTGTGCTTCCTAATTAATAAAATATTATTTCTTTTCTTACACAAACATAAACAGTAAAAGCATAATATATTGCTAAGGCATGTTTATTATTCATAACGAACACGTGTCATTGAAGTCATTTGTCACCATTTAGTCGTGTACATTACAAAATATGTGTTAATGTGTGATACTTTTAGCTTTCATCTGTATGTAGCGTACATTCATGAAAATAAATAATTATATTGTCGATTAAGAATATATAATTCAGTTTTTTTTGTTTGGAATAATTGTCGTGTTACATCGTAAATCGGCTGTTATACAGTGACAGTATGCGTAAATGGTGTATGAACAGTACACGTTCCACTTTTAAGGGCTATCTTGTGCAGAAGTTGTCTGGAGATCTATGCATGCTTTCATGGCGTTCACCTTAGCGAAGTGCACTAACCGCAGCGCCCCCTCTCGTGCGCAGGTGATCCCCGTGCACTACGACAAGCCCGTGCCGGTGGCCGTGCCCAAGGCCCTGCCGCTGGAGGTGCGGCTGCCCGTGGCCGTGTACAGCAAGCAGCCCGTGCCGGTCGAAGTGGCGGTCACCAAAGCCGTGTACGTGCCCGTGGACCGGCCCTACCCGGTCACCGTGGAGAAGAAGGTGCCCTACACCGTGCACAAGCCCTACCCGGTGACTGTGGAGAAGAAAGTGCCCATCCCGGTGCCGAAGCCGTTCCCCGTCTACGTCCCAGTTTACAAACACGTGTACCACACCGGCGGCAAAGGCTGGCACGGTTGATACGCGAGGACTTTCTCCCCAAGACTGAATCGCCCGCCACATGCTTCCGTTTCATTGTTTCATTGTCATTGTTGTTGTGTTTTCATGTTTTGTTACCTATTTTTGTTTGTATAATAAATATGTAAAGCAAAACTACTCTGTTTTGATCATTTATAAAAACAATTCATACCCTTGGCCAAATTCTAAAATCCCACTTCTTACATAGATTCCTTACCAGTTAATCCCACCCTGCAATATTGAATCAATACTTCTTGTTAATTAAACATTACCTTTCAAAAATAAAACATTAAATACATTTTGCTTTTTTTTTACTTAGTTCGCATGAGAATACTTTATATATTTTTAATGTTGTAAATAATTTAGTTAATAAACCCATATCTCACTGATCACCTACAAGTTTCAAAATACATATTCTCACAAGGCGTTGTCATGTTTCCTACAATAAATTTTTATTTTCAATATACCTTCATGACCTGAGGCACAGCAATCTAAATTTCATTACATCCCCTTTTTCTTATATGGAAATATTACTAATTGATAATGGTTGGTTGTGATAATGATGGTTGTCAAAATCAACATTTTGACAAGCTGTA